CGGCGAGGCTTCTGGCTGACGGGCACACGTGACTTCGCGGAAGCTTTTCGACCCCCGCCCCGTTCGTCGAGCTTTCATCCCCACGCGGACCAGCGACCCCGCCTTTCGCATCCCTCGGCCAGCATCCGACTAGGTGGACCCGCGCCCCTATTGGCCGGCCGCTGATCACGTGGCGGCGAGGTGGGGCGCTCCGCGACGCGGGGTTTCTACGGAAACGGCGGCAGCGTCGCGCGGGATAACGTCGTTATTGGCATCGGGGTTTCGGTGGGACCGAGACCGGGACACCGCGAGCAACCGAGAGAGAACAAGACAGGGAGAGAGAGATCAGCGCCGCCGGGATCGGGATGGAAGAGGCAAAGGTTGCGAAATAAACGTTCGCCGGCTGGTCTACCGCCAACAGTCCCACGCGAAATCACGCGGCGCACACCCCCGTGAGCACTGCTTATTCATGAGCCTGTCCCTCTCCGGGAGGTTCTACCTTGCTCTCCTTGGATACGATGTCTCGCCTTATCGATTTTATTTATTTAAGAGTTTCCCTTTGTCGCTCCACTTCTTCCCCGGTGTAGCTACTCCTTCTTCCGTCAGCCGTTCGGCCACTTTGTCTGACGTTTCCCTTTTTTTTTATGCTCGGCTCCCCGCGAAACGCCTGCTGCGCGGTTATCCTCGAACACTGATGAAGAACTCGGAAGAGTTTACTAGGGGATGAAGATGTTAGGGTTGCTTCGTATGGGATTCTTCGGTCGATCGTTTCTTCTCGTTTCAATTGTTATCAGATCGTATACACTGATCACCACACTTGTTTGCTTGATTATTGTTGGATGGTAGTCTTTTGAACTTTGTTGACACTACGCTGGGTTTAGGGGATGAGCCTCGTCGATCTTCGGATACGCGAGAACAGGTGGCCTATCAGGCTCGAACGCGACTAATTACGAGACTGATTACGTCGATGGAAAGATCGTGGACACTGTCCACGATGGTGGGACGAGTAAGGTGAACGACGAGGGAGGAAAGGGCTAGGAATCCGCAAGTTATGCGTGTCGGCTTGGTGGGGGCATGCCGCGTGAGGTGGGGACGATATACTGGTTTACAAACTGCGGCCGCGCTCGTCGCTGGATACTTTCCTTGGGAAACTTATACCGAAGTATAACATTTACGGGTTGAATCCGTGGATGCTTATTCGCCGGAAGAAACTTATCACTTTTATGCGGGGGGCTGCGAACTCGAAAGTTGGGCAATGCGCGCGATGCATTCCAATTACCCCCATCGACGGGCCGAAATTACTCATCTCTACAGCTTTCCAATTTTTAGCGGTATATTCGTCCGGATTATGGCGATCGGCCGGGGCCCGGCAATAAAGTTTCGGAAGCTCGCGCGCAGGATTTATGGAAAAGTTTTCTGCCCGCGATCCGCGATCCCGCCTCAAAAAATCCTGCGTCGGCAAGTTTCGCTCGTAAAACGGGTACTGTGTCAAAAGGATCGCGACTCGATTGCGACGCGTGTATCCTATGCGCCGCGGGATATGTTGTGGAACTACCGATCCAGTCGATTTTCCACGAATATACGGGGTGTTCGAGCAGTCGTCGGTGTTACTAACAAAAGGATTCACAGCTCGCGGAAAAATAAACTGAAGATGTACAATAAAATTGTTACAGATGAAACCTTATTTTCAAGGACAATTACATCAAGTACATCCCAAGCGATAGATTCACCCCACATTTCCGATTTCACGTTGCACAAACGACCACTCGCCTTACACCAAAGCCACCACATTACCGACGATCCAAGAGAATACCGAAAAACTTAGAGGTCGCTACGTTTTTCAATCAATGTTAAAACCAAACGCATACAATGAAATTTCACCCATGACAGCCTCTAAGAGTTAGAATCCGGCAAAAAAGAAAAGGGAGACGTGGCTTGGAGAAAGCAAATGGTGCATGAAACAGATAGAATTCGGCGAGAGGGTATCGAGAGAAGAAAAAGAAAAGTGTATCGAGATCCGTGGTAAAAACGGAGTGCCCCCCTGTAGGGGCGAGAAGCGGAGACCACAGTGAGGGCCCCCCACCTATCTAAATGTCGCACTGGGAAGGTACGGGCTGGGTTTGGAGTGACTTGGATCGCCCGGAAGGTGCGGTCAGCCATCGGCGTCGGTGGGACCGTCGCCGGGCCGCGAATCTCACAAGGGTCCGGTTTACATTCGAGTGCGTTCTTTCATGACTCCTTTCTTCGTTTTCATTCCTCCTTTTCCTCCGACTGGCCGGCCCCCGGGGGGACCTCACGTTCCTCCTCCGCAGTTGTCTATACGCGTGTACGCGCGCAACACACCCCCCGCACGCCCTCGCCAGCCCTCTGACATTAGATACGTGAGATCGGGAAACGGCGAGCGTCGTCGTCTCGCCGTCAAACGGCGTTGCGCAACCGGTGCGTACCTGACACTCGCCACCCGTGAGTAGGGGTCCTACGCGTAATTTCCTAGCCGGTCGATTCTGCGTTTTCAATTGACGGGACAGATCGATTTCCATCCGATACCGCATCCTGTTACAACACGGTTACATTTTAGCCTTCGAACGGAGACATTGTTGCGACCGCGTCGACGGATGCTTACCGAGGTAGATGCTTCTCTGTTGAATGCTGGGAAAGTTGCTTCTTGACTCGGGGACTCAAACTCGCGTGTGTGATACGTTTCAGGAAACGAGATTAGGAAATGTGTTGGATGAAAAGGACGAATGGTTGGCAGTGTAATAGATTTTGTATATGTAACGAATGTGCATTTGAACATTGCTTTAGTTTTTTAAAGAGGTGCGTGTAGGTTTTCCTTTGCGCGAATTGAATAATTCTCTGTTCTTTATATATTCTTTCTGCAATAAAGATCAGCTGATCAGACAGCATTGTTGCCGTAAAGCATATAAAGCACACTATAATTACTCTGCGAACCAGTAGAAAACGAGCGAATAATTTATCAAGCACACGTCCTCAAATTTCAGTCACCCGATCAATCTTCCGCTTTCATTAAAGCGCTCGCACTCGCCTGATATCATACGTTTCCCTTTCTTTTATCCAATCTACCTTAACTCCCACGTACGCATCGAATTTCTACAATTTCCCATTACTTGTTTCAACAAACGTATCTCCGAAACTCAAATCTCCGAACGAAATAAGGTTATCAAAGTGTCTCCGTCGCGTTCAAAATCAGAATCTACATTTTCCAAGAAGCTATTACTCAAGCAACGGACGGGGATCCTCCCCGAGGCGGATTATATCGTTCGATGAACGATTCTTCATCCCCGTCGAGTCGGTCCCTCCCCCGGAAAAATAGTCTTGGTCCACCTGACGCGTGATCCTCGCGAGCGAAGATCGAGTCGGGCGCGGATCCATTCGTCATTACCGGCGTCGAGCGACCTAATCTCTGGAGGATCTCACGAGATTACACTTTGGCATATCATTTGGCTGAACGAACGACCGGCTCTGCTCGCGTTGACGGGCAATATGTCCTCTACATGACTGCACCGGCGTTAGACGCGAGACACATTTGCAGCCGAATAGGGACACACTCTCGGATCATGGACGCGGTGTCCCGTGGCTTCCAGCTGGGATAGCGGAGGGAGGATTCTGGTGCTCTCGCTCACGAGACGATCCCGTGGTAGTGGCAGAATCGGCGGGGGCAGATGCAGATGAGCCCGCTACTACGGGTGCATCGATCATTGGGCTAATGCGGCTGCATCGTGCTGCTTGGCTCCCTAATCAGTAGCCCAGACGACCTCCTATCCTTCCTAATCCGTGGGCCAACCACTGCATTAATCTCGTTTGTCGTGGAGCTGCTCGAGGAGCGCAAGGTGTAAGCACTACATTTCACGGGAATTTCGATCTTCGGTATACATCTATCGTCGTAGACGTTCTTGCACTTCGTGCAGGAGTTTGCAATTATTTTTCGAGGCGTCGGAAGATGTTTCAGTCTCTATTAACGACTTCTTATAGTTTTGATTGAGTGGTAACGTTGAGTAGAAAAAGAATTTTTGGGATCGCTTTTGTATTTTTATTTCGTTAGAGATTCTTTTTGTTCGAGTATTTGTTTAAATCGCGACATTACGATTGTTCGGATTCGCCTGTGAAAATATCTATAATCAAGTATAGCTTAGAAAGTTTATGCAATTGTACTGTTTTATAATTACCTTTAAATGTACTGCAATTATTAACACAGTAAATAAAATATCTGTTCACCTCAATTTCGTACGGCCGACAAAAAATTCGAATAAATAAAATCCAACCGACTTTTAAACAAATAACAAACAGTCCCACGTCCTATTAATCCCGAAAATCGCGGGAAATATTACCACTCGCGAAATATCCCGAGCCAAAAGAGCATCAATTAGAATCTTCGAAAACAGTGCCGGGCATTTTTCACCGTGGAGAAGAATTATTTTTCTGTTTGCTCTCTTCGCGGTCGGGGATAATGGGTCTCTGATGAAAATCTCTTTCGCGGGCAAAACACTCGTGGCCACGGGCGGGGCAGGGGGATGGGAAAAAAACGAAACGCGCCGGACGAATTTATCCCTCTGTTGGCCGCCCCTCTCCGCGAGCATCGGGGAACGATCGCAAAAACCGCGAGCGTCACGAGTGCCCCGCAGGAATTCGGGAACTATTCCGCAAAAGATTACTCCCTAACCGTGTTACCGATGGTGGTTATAGCGGTGGTGGTGGCGGCGGCGGCGGTGGTGGTGGGTGAGAACCAAGGAGGGTGGGACGGCGATAACTT